TATATTTATATAAATTGAAAACAAACAACTTAAGCAGATTAGTTTTATAACTAAAGATTGTAAGGAACTTATTTACAACCACCTATTAAAGTTTAATAATATTACTTTTACATTTAAAAATAATAATATTTATCTCGACTAGAAAAAGTAATACAATAATTTATAGCTTGTATTTATTAAATCCATAGATATATATAATATATATAACAAAATTTGAAAATATATTTCTATATATAAATAATATATTATATAACAAGTCTGTAGAGTATATATTATAACTATATATTAGCCTAAAGTATTATTCAATCTATTTATAATAACACAAACAACCCAATCTAGCAAGAATAATATTGTAGTATTAAACAAGTATATCAAATAGTAAAAAAAAAACTTTATTAGAAAACTCAAATATATATTATTTAATCTAGATTTATTTAAGATTGTTATTTTTGCTAATATCTCTTTTGTAAATAATAAAAACTATTTATTCTAAATAAATTATATAATTATAATAATAAATAAACATAATAATATTAATATCATTCATTAATTATTTATTAAATACAAAAAAATCATATATAATATTTTAGTATTCAAACTATACAAATTAGTTCAAGGATTTGATATTGATATAACAATCACTTCTACAATTAATATTATTCTCAGCAAAAAGATTCTATTAATTCTATATACTAATTTCAAATTATTATATAATCTATTCATAAAGCTGAAAACAATTAGTGAAAAGAAACTAATAATCAATATTATAATACTATATCAATTCTACAAACAAAAAAAAATCGTTAAAATAATCTGAATTGATAATCCAATTAATCCAGCTAATACAATAACAAAAAGAAAGCTATATCAAGCTCTTATTGATCTGATTAATATAAATAAAATTGATATCAAAACAATAAAGTGAATAGAATAAGATTAAAAAAAGGAATTGATTCTGTTAGTAAAAGATCAGAAACTTTAATTAATAGATAAAAAATATTTATAATTTCACAAATTTCTTTTTTACTATTATATTTGAAGCCATAAAAAAGAGTTCCGAGTATATAAATAAAGAAATTCATTTAAGGAAATTTATTTCAAAAAATTCACTTCAATACAAAAACAATTATATTAAAATTATTAAGCAAAAACAAAAAAGACTAATTCTTTCAATAGTATCTATATAAGGCCTATTATTTTTTTCATTTAGCTAGCTCCTTAAATTAAATACAAATAGATATTTAGAGGCCTATACATAATAGAAACCACATCTTCCGTATCTCTCTCAAACCAACAAATTGAGTTATAAAATTTTCTTATTCGATTTTATAGATAAATAAAGAGATATACTAGATATATTAAATAAGTTAAGTAAGTAATTTAGTATCTACTTATTATATCAGGGAGCGATCACCTGACAGGGTTTGTATAGTAGATCCACTGTTCCGAATGTATTCGGAACACTCTATGCTTTTGTGGGTTAGTGATAAAGTAGATCAACCCTAACATATTATATTTTAATAATTAATTTTTGATATTATAAGAAGCGACGACTTAACTATTTATAATTTCTTTCTATAAGATTAGATAAGGTATTGAGTTTTATATATTATATAATATAGCTCAATATTTCTTATAACTTTTTGTTCATTTATATAATAAAAAGATAAGAATTTTTTAAATAATATTAAGAGTATAGTATAAATCTCATATTAGAATATAATTTCTCTCTAAATAGATACATTAAAGTAGAAGATGAAAATAGAAAGGTTTTTATATAGTAGATTATAGTAATTCAAAAACTTGAGATCTCGTTTATATAAATGAGTATGTAAGTAGCTAAGCAAGGACTTTAAAGTTATCATACTGATTATATAATTTCTCCTATTTACCTTTTTACTATTTCCTCGCTTAGTATTCTATCTCTTCTATTCATCTATCTCTCTCCTCTTCTATCTTCTCTAGCTACCCTGTGTAGACAAGGAAATTCACTCAAAGGAATTCACTTCAAGGGAATGACTTCCATACAATGGCAACTGTATTAAAGGTATTTAGGCGAAAGCGAAGGAGACTAGCTCTTTCAGTAGTGCCTATATAAGGCCTACTATTCCCCTCATTTAGCTAGCTCCTTAGATTGAATACAAATAGACATTTAGGGGCCTACACATAGTGGGAACCACGTCTTCCGTATCTCTCTCAAACCAACATACCCTCTATTCATTCCCCTCTCATTCTATCTTTTGTATCTCTTTTCTTTTCTCTCTATATATTTCCTCTCTTTTATCTCTTTCTCCTTTCTATTTCTTTCTTTTTTATTCCTGTATGGACAAGTGTATGAATAAGGGAATTCATTTAAGGGAATTCACTTCAAAGAATTCATTTCAATACAATAGCAACTATATTAAGGGTATTAAGCGAAAGCGAAGAAGACTAGTTTTTTCAATAATACCTATATAAAGCCTACTATTTCCCTTATTTAACTAGCTCCTTAAATTAAATACAAATAGATATTTAGGGGCCTACACATAGTGGGAACCACGTCTTCCATATCTCTCTCAAACCAACAATTCCTTTACTTATTATTCTATTTCTTTTATTCATCTATTCATTCATCTCTATTCTCTTCTATATCTTTCTCCTTTTCATCCCTTCCCTCTCATTCTATCTTCCCCATCTCTCCCTTCTCTCCATACATTCCCCCTTCTCCTCTCCTCTCTATATCCATCTCTTGATCTCAAATCCAACACCTCATACCTCAAATCCAATACCTCAACACCTCAGATTCCACCTCTTACCCTCCACTTCATATACTCAAGTCCCCTCAGAATCCCTTAAATCTAAATCCGTATACTATTACTATCCCCTATTCCATCTGTCATTTAACATTCCACCATCTTAACTTCCCCATCGCGCTTACTCGCTTACCCATCTTTATTCTAGATATATAACCTCAAACTATAATATATTATTTAATATCATACTATGAGTAAATATCATACCGATCAATATAAGAAGCGCAAAATCTTTCTATTCTAGTCTGGTTACGTTTATATATATACCATATTACATATAATCAAAATAGTAAAGATAATATTATCGATATCAGTAATTAATATCAATACTATCTTTTATTCTAATTATCTTTTATTTGTTTATTTTATTTATCTATTTATTATCTATTATTTATCTATTTATTTATCTATTTATTTAGCTATTATTTATCTATTTATTTATCTATTTATTTATCTATTTATTTATCTATTTATTTATCTATTTATTTATCTATTTATTTATCTAGTTATTTATCTATTATTTATTTATATATTTATTTAGCTATCTTTATCCCTTTTCATCCTTATTTATCATTCTCAAACTCATTCTCAAACTCATTCTCAACTCATTCTCTCTCCCTCAAAACAAATACCTCTTAAATATCTACTTATTCCTCTATATTTTCAAACCTTAACTACTTCATATCTCATATCTCATATCTCATATCTCATATCTCATATCTCATATCTCATATCTCATATCTCATATCTCATATCTCATATCTCATATCTCATATCTCATATCTCATATCTCATATCTCATATCTCATATCTCAAACCACTATATCTTATATCTCATATCTCATATTCTACATCTCTCAAACCACTATACTACTACACTCCCTATCTAATACCCTTACCTCATTTTTCTCATCCTTCTCTAAATTCTCACCTCCTACCTCATAATACTCGATTCTCGCCTTCCAATTCTCTAATTTCCAATTCTCTAATTTCCAATTCTCTAATTTCCAATTCTCTAATTTCCAATTCTCTAATTTCCAATTCTCTAATTTCCAATTCTCTAATTTCCAATTCTCTAATTTCCAATTCTCTAATTTCCAATTCTCTAATTTCCAATTCTCTAATTTCCAATTCTCTAATTTCCAATTCTCTAATTTCCAATTCTCTAGTTAATGATTAATTATTCAATGATCACTTAGATACAATATAATCCAACAATTCAACAATATCATTCTCCTTCCTTCTCTTCATTTTTCTATTTCTCTATCTATATCTCCATCTCTCTAATCCTATTTTCCTTTACTTTATAATACATATATATATTCCCCTATCAATCAATCACTTTAATTTATCCATCCATCCATCTCTCCAATATCCAATATCCAAAATCCAAAATCAACCACTCACTCAAATCTCACAATATAACATTCCCCATCCACAGTCATACAAACACATCCTCGCCTCCCTCATAAACCTCAGATTTCTCAGTTCTCAATCTTCGCCTCTCGCTTCTTAACCTCCTTCTACATCAGCGAAATAACCAGCGAGAATTGACGAATATTCAAAAGAATATAATATTAAACCTAAGAGATTCTAATTATCAATACAAAGAAGACTCAAATTTATATTTGATCTTTTCGAATTGTAATATTTATTTTGAATTGAATTAATAATTCAATAAATAAATAATAGGTTAATTTCCGCCTGTTTTTTTCGCTTACATAGAGCCCCCCTTAATAAATAATTAACTATAAGATAATTCTACAACTATATATTTATTCCTCTATCCCTCTATCCCTCTATCCCTCTATCCCTCTATCCCTCTATCCCTCTATCCCTCTATCCCTCTATCCCTCTATCCCTCTATCCCTCTATCCCTCTATCCCTCTATCCCTCTATCCCTCTATCCCTCTATCCCTCTATCCCTCTATCCCTCTATCCCTCTATCCCTCTATCCCTCTATCCCTCTATCCCTCTATCCCTCTATCCCTCTATCCCTCTCCCCAATCTCCTCAATCTCCCCAAGCTCCCCAATCTCCCCAACACATCATTTCGGGGCGAGCCAGCTCGCTAGTGTTCGGAGCGCCTAATATTTTCTAATATTTTCATTATTATTCTTATTATTCTTATAATCACACTCCAACTTTATTCATTCATTCATTTATTCATTTATTCATTTATTCATTCATTCATTCACTCATTCACTCATCAATTCATCAATGCATTCTACTCAAACACTCAAATACACAAACAGATATATCCATTCTACAACCCCCATACCACTTTCTTCCCCTCCTCTCTTCTTGCTCTCCACTCATTCAAATTCGATCTTTTCAAATCCCCCGAATAATTTCAAGTCTCACCCCCTTCATACCAAAAACCGAAAACCAAAACCAAATAAACATCCTAAATCCCCAAAATAACGCCTATAAATGCATACACGCGTCCAGTCCCAATTTGTTTTCCCCTCTCCATCTCCAAGTGCCATCACCACACACCTCACCCCATATACTACACCACATCACACCCCAACCCGAACTCCTCTCCTCTCCTCTCAAACCCCATCCGCAAAATTTCAGAAAAATAGAACTTCAAAATGGGGGTATACACAAACAAAACCTTACTATGATACATAACAATGTCCCAAAACACCACCATCCTATCCTATCCTATCCATCAATCCATCCACCCAAATAACTCCATGTTAAATGCTTGAAGCACCATGCCCACTTCTCACACACCATCTTAATCTTATATATTCTCCCCCTTATCCTCTTCCACCCCTCCCCTCAATCTCTTCTAATCACACACCACCTATACCTTATTCAACCCCCCACTCGAGAAACTTCCGTCTTTATCGTTCTTCCCCGTTTCCGCAGTCGAAACTCCACTGCTAGCTTCTACTCTATCTTCCGTCTCTGCTGTTGCCAAATCAGCCAAACGTTGAAGACCTTGATTTGCAGCCGTAATCATATGTTGATTGTCATCTACTTTTGCATTCACCACTGCACTTGGAACTTGTTGCACTCCTTGACTTTGACCTTGAGACAAACCAATCGATCCTCTTCTTTGCGGTCCCAAATGATTGATCAAGAATTCCATTGTCACTTTATCCCAAGACGAAGATGCAAGCCGACCATCTAACATAGTTTTCAATGTAGTTTCTGCCTCTTTCTTTGTATTCTCAATTTGAAGAAGATTTGGAAGTGCGAGAGCTGCGAAACATTTGTAGTAATTTACTAGAGGAGATTTAAGGTCTGGATTGAAAGAAAGTTGGCTGATAATATAATGAGTAGCTCTCATTTGTTCATCGGCGTCTTCTTGTGGCCCTTGAAGAAGTAGTATAAGGAGATAAGCACACCAATAATTGATATGAAGAACGGGAGATTCGATCGGTGTGATACCAGAATTACTCAACTCATGACGTACGAGTTCGAGTTGGGTTTTGAGGAGTCGAGAGTGAAGTCCACGATGAACTGCGAGCGGCGGCAAGTCATTTGTAGCAAGATTCACCTCTGTGTAGTTTCCAATAACGACGGCGATACCTATATAGTTAGCAACAGATAAGCAGATAGGACGAGAGAACTGTACTCACGAACTAAATGGTATGTAACTTCACCCAATATAGCTCGATCATCAGGATAAATTTGTGCAACCGAATCTGGAATTTGTATTGGACAAGCTCTCACTGCAGCATTCCATCTCTCCATAATGACCAAGCTGAACCAAACTCGCCTCGCATGCTTGTCATCAGAATCCGGATCATTGTTCGATTTGTCAATTGGTTTGTGTGCGTGCAATTTCGTAGAATATGCGAAGCCAACAGCAGTGCTCAACCAAACAGATGGTAACTGAATAATTTGACCGTCCTGAATGTCACAAGGGAGATTGTTGGCTTCAATTGAAAGCAGCATCATTATTTGAAGATATGCGATCATAGTAGTAGGGGAACGGATGGTTTGCGAATCATATTGAACTGTGTGAATGAGTCTGACAGCGTTTGTGATACCTCGTGGCTTGAGGGGAACTGCGGTTGGAAATGATCTGATTGCAGCATATAGCGCCTCCCAAAAAGCATGCCTGACAGGAGCAGGACAAGCAGAAAGCCGAGAAATTAACCTGGCTTTGGTGAGGGATAGTATAGGATAAGTTGGGTGTATGAATTTGTAATAACTAAATGTTGTTAGTAATTATGCAGTTTGTACATTTTAAGTGATTACATACTTTTCAAGAAGAGAATCGTCAATATAGTCCACAGGATCTTCAGTGTGAGGTTGGGAGGTATGATTTACTGCTTCAACAGAACCACTAACAACAGGCGCGTTCACCCACTTCTGCTGAGGTACTGTCATGTTTGGCGAGTAGTTCTGCTCTCTGGTAGGTAGTTGAGTGGTACCAGGTAGTGATGCACCGGTAGGATATGATGAATTTGGAATTGAAGAACGCGGCTGTTCTTGAGGGATCCAATTGGAAGCTGACCTCTGTGGTTGATTCTGATACGGAGAATTAAATTCGCCGACCCCGGAAATTGAAGAATAACCGCGCTTGCGGGGAAGTTGCTCAGGGTTCGGAGTCGGAGAAAACTCTTCGGAAGGTCTTCTTTGTAAAATATCTTGTGACTGTTGATATTGAGGCATCTCACTTCCTTGCACTTGACCTTCCAATGTATTGATCCGATCAGCAAGCTCTTTAATGTAGCTACTACTTTGTCAGTGAGTTTCCTTCAAGATCATGATTTCTCGTTTTACACAACCTACCCTTTACTTGGTCCACGTTTCATAGGTTGCCTGCTAAATTGACAATGAACACCGACTCTTTTACAGTTTGAGCATATATCTTCATTTCCTGGTTCATTGGCATTGCATCTGATTTTCTTTCTCCGACACTCATCACAAGCTCTTGATACCTTTGATCTCTTTCTTCCAGCTGGAGATATTGAATCATCCTCATATTGAGGACCCACTTCCATAAGTCCATGATTCATAGGTGTATGACCTCCATGCATTTGATGATCTGGTTGGTATTGATGGTTCATGTTGACATTTCCTTGACCTCGAGAATCTGGATTTTCGCTCATTCCACGATTGGTTCCCATGTTTGGCTGTATACTACGTGATAATTGAGCATCGGCGGATAATTGCTCTGCAAGTTGCAGCTCATCGGGAGTGGGTAGATGTTGCTGATGTTGATTGGGATGTGGATTCGAGGAATTTGGTCCATAGAAAGGTCCACCACTACTATCAGCAGCAGTCGCGTTAGGAGATGGATAGGATTGCATTGTTGGCGCGTCGTTATGGTTCATCTTTTTCACTTTGACTTCATCGGCGCAAAAGGAAGGAACGTTGATTAGTTTCCTAATTGAAAAAAAGTTAGTTAAGAGAACTCCTATCCATAGTACTTTTATTCACTTCCATCTTGATCTCAATAGCCACCGCACCTAGGTTATTGTTATAGTCCCGTCGTTCTCAAACAACGAAATTGGCTTCAATGAACTTACTTGAAAGGATTCTTGATGGAGAAGAAGTATGCGACTCCAATTAATTAGTTTGCAGAACAGTAAACAAGCAGATGCTCACTGTACAACAATCGGAAGTTGTAGATTGTAACTTTGGATGGTATGATGAATATGGAAATTTTCGGTGATGGAAGAACTGTTGTCCGAGAAGCTGTATCGTACAAAGATAGAAAGTAAGCTGAAGCATTTATCAGTCAAGGTCCTGGTGGTCCCTCATTAAAGGTTTGTGGATTAATAAGAAGATGTCCAATGAGATTCACAAGCTCGAGACACTAATGAGAATCTTCAAATAAGGTGGAGCTTTCTTCCATACCTCGGTGATAATAACCTCCGATGGGGTAAATATGTTCATTCAATGTTTGACATTCAATTCAATGTTCCATCCATCCATATAGCCAAAAGTCCCACAGGACCGTGAGTGAAGCAAGAAGCAATAACAATATCGAATTGAATTGAAGCGGAACTTTCGGATAACCCTCGAGGAGGAGTTGTTAGCGTTTGACTTTCGACCTAGAGCAAAGAATGAGAGAAGTAAGAAAGCAGTAAGAAGTGGCTTTTTGAGTGATGCTGGAAGTCATGGGAAAAGGATCATAAGAGAATGAATGTGCAATAGGTAGATAGAAGGAATAGTCCAAGGAAGGATTGATTGGCCCACTCACTCAAATATCGAAACGATTTCCAGAATGAGATGAGGTCCGGTATCCGTATCTTCAATGATGTTTCTTTGCTTTTGTCTATCTTCTCTCTCGCCCTCTTCCGTGATAGAGGTGCAACTCAAGATGTTGTTTCACAAATACCTTGCTTGTACTACATCACAATAAAACACTTCGGAGAATTGGAGAACCTATCAATTGTTAGCTTTCCCATGTCTATTCATGGTTATACACACCCAACTTTCATATACGAAGAGAGGTGTTGAGCTGACCTTGAATTCTTGAATTCTTGAATCGTTGATCTTCGATGTTGTGGTTGCAGTTGCAGTTGCATCAAGAAATTCATTCCTCCATCCCCTTCCATTCATATTTCACCAGTAGGTAGGTAGGTCATAGTCATGATCATGATCATGTTCATAATTGAAAGAAGCTTCCTCGGCAGGTGATCTTTCCACCTTGTGGAGAAGGGGGAGGGAGGGGACGGGAGCTACGAATGTGGAAATGTGGGGGAGCAGGGTGTGAACAATATATCCACGGCCGGGTTAACTAGGTATCTCGGAGAAGGGTTACGAGTGAAGTCCAAAGGGCAAATCGTGATTTTTTATTTAACTTCCTGTTGATCCACCATCGGCCACATCTACAAAGACTGACCAGCCTCCATGTAAGCCCTCGGGAGCCCTTGCAGAAGGGTTGGGGAGGATATCCTCGTACTCATATCTCCTTCTCCTTATTGGACCTAATCATCTATTGCCCTGCCAATTCCACTTCAATCTTTTGGAGACGAGTTCACGCATACATACGGTATCCTGCCTCCCTGCCAACTTTCCCCAAACAACCGATGGAATCTATACTCATTTGATCACTTGCATAGCACCCTCATGCATTTATCCAGCCTAAATACCCCAGACCATCCGACCCATTCCTGAAGAACTTACAATTCCACCACTTCCCTCTTCCTCTCTGCCGAAAGAAGTCTCATCTCGCCGGAAGAAGAAGTGCTATTGTTCCGTTCGAGTCTACACCATTGATATCCTCCTAATCTCGTCATGCGACGTAAATCCTAAGAATGCAACTTGTGCCCATATTCCACTCCCCGATGTAACGTTCAAGTCACTCATCAGCCTTTACCGGCGGGGTATCAGTGCCGTATTATGAACTAAGATGTGACCCTTTCAATATTAATAGGGACGTGTCTGTCTTGGCAAACAGGATCTTCTCAATCCCTCTTACCTCCAACTTCTCCGTTTACTTTCCCTTTCGCCTACAGCGCAGAAAGGAGGGGGGCTCGGTCAAATGTTTTAGAATGCCGAGACCTTCTGTTACAACTGGAAGATATTTATCCCATTTCCTCCGCCTTCGAAGAAACATACTTTACCTATTGTTTGAACGTAGCATGAATCGTCCATGCAATCCGACAAGCGTGCAAGTGACTCGTCGAATCGCACCAATCTCACCTAGGATCGAATCACCACTTGATCAATCTTTAATAAACTTTCAATAACGAGATGCCAATAGTCACAACTCCCCTCCATATCTAGATCGTGTTCGATCAAATTTTGCGATTCGGATACCACCATTTTCCCGGTCAGCGCTTTCTTACTACTTTTCTCACCACCCTTTTCGTGCTTTTACAATACGGATCCAGTCCGAGGAAGTCAACATCTAATCTATCAGCCGATCTGTTGACTTGTTCATAGTGACATTGCGTAAAGCATGTCGGGAGCGACTGATGCAAGATAAAGTATTCTTCGTATCGTGACTTCGGCACAACCGTTTTGCCTGCAGAGTCACCTATGTAACATGGGTTGGCATCCGGTCCTCAATTTGTGGACGGAAAAACATATGAACGCGAAATCATCACTAAAGTCAGTTATTTCATATCAAGTGCATACACAGGATGCATCATGATATATTTTGGTCATGTAAGTCATTTATCGCTATTCACACAAGAGACGTCTATAAAATATAATGCCACCTGAAAATGCTGCACTTCTTGTGCCAAACGCTGTTGCCGCCATTCTGTACTTGAAACTCATGGGAAAGTGATCATCGTAAGTGATCGAAATCGATATCCAAAGATCAGGAATTTGCACACAGAGGCCATTTGCCTTTCCACCGGTGTTATTGTCTCCAAACAATCTCATCCTGTACTCCATTCGCATTGTTGGCCGCAACGTTGTTTGCGACAGAATATTCCGTCATCCAAAAGTTGTCGGGTTCTTCGACATTTATGGGCAAAAAAGTGCTGCTCTCGTCAAATGGTATTTGCAGATTATTCTTGATCTCGGTTGGATACCCTGTCATAGGTAGACCTTGGTTTGAAGGTGTCAATGGCAGAAATTCGCTGGAGCTTGGTTTCATGAATTCCTCAAGTCCAAAAGTCCCAACATCATTGCTTGCGAGCATCTGCATCTGTGACACGTCGAGATAGGATGACGTCGTGCTTAATCTGTATCTTTCAATTTCTCCACCAAATTCTGATGCATCAAGATCAGACCCGTATTGATTATTTTGATTGTTCATCAATGCAGGTCTGGAAGGATCCGAAACACCCATAAAATCTTCGATTTCTGATTGCTCCCCAGAGGTTGATGTAGTCGTTAATGCTGGATGATCGATACTAGAAAAGTCGAATCCATTGAATGATGCCGCTTGGCTATAAGAAGAGGCTGCGAAATTATCATCGTTGAAATTTAATCCCGGGTAATTACTCCAGTCGACAGAAGCGGAGCCGATTCCGGCGGAGAATATCGGTTGTTCGAAATCTTGGATTGCCCCACCGTATCCATCGAATTGATATATGTTATTGTAATCGGGGGTCGACATATTCGTTATATCCAAAGGTGGTAATTGACCATTTATTTGGTGGAAATTTGTTGTTGGGCTGACGAGTGGCGATGCATGCTCGGACTTGATCATTCGCTGCTCTTGCTGAGCACTCACTATAGAGTCTTTGATTTGAGATTCGCTGTGTAAGGTATCGATAGCGTTCGTGTGTGGTAAATTATCAACAGACCTATTGGCCAGACTCGATGACGATTGTCCATGGATTGAGTGTGCTCGGGGCACGGTGTATGGAAGACCACATTTGTGAGCCATATTGTTATTCTTGTGTACGGGCTTGTGGTGACCATTTGTAAATATTGTCAAATTGTTTTCCGATTGGGTGGTCTGCGCGCGGGGTCGTCTTGGTTTGGATACTGGTATAGACATCGAAGGAGTTTCATCAGAGTCGGACTCGGGTACTGGAGGGAGATGATCACTTTTCAAAGCGCAAGTGCATCGGGCTCCATGGCTGCAACAACAGGTATCTGCTTTAATCATGTCAGAAACTGGGATTGTTGTGCCAGGAGTTTGTCGTAAAAGCTCACCCTGTGTATCTCCATTTTCCGGACAGGATCCTTTCGAATGTGCCTTTTCTGAACCGCATTCACATCGAACATGTGCTGCTCTGGATTTGCGCAATGTTCGACAATGAGTACATTGTGAGACAGGACGACCCTAGACAAGTCTGGTTAGCAAGATCGGCACAACAAAATACAATTAGTATACCTTTTTATTGATGTGTTGCAGAGGTCTGTCTGAATGATGACAATTGCTAACACGATGACCTCTGACACAAGCATCACAAGCCCACTTTTCTCCGTCGATGATCATCGTGAAGAGAGATAAATCGAGCGTGAGATATATATTTTAGGTAAGAGTAAGGATAAAGTTGGACGACCGTCAACAAGTCGTCACTGGTAACAAGATGGGAAAAAACCACCCTCAAGATGATAGATGAGATCTGTAAGAAATTGTATGCAATTCAATTGAATTGCTGAGTCGATAATAGATCGAGTCGAAGTAAATAAAAGTTAAGAGAGCAATATGGGAAATTGCTCTGATGTATAATAAAAGTAAAATGCCGCTGCCGTGGTATATGGGGTATATGCCCTTTGACTCCAAAATTGAATATTTGATCCAACGCCGGTAAGATGCGATATCCGAGAACAGAAAATTGAAGGAAGATGGAGGGGAGATTTGTTATTTTTTTGAGCTTTTTTTTTTTTTACAATGGCAGAGCCTTGCACCGTCTGGCGCCGGCTTAGAACAGCGGGACACCGAGGCCGGTTTGGCTTTACCAAATTATATGGTTATGTTCCTTTGTTTGGAGGACAAGTTGAAATGTGAATAGGTTGATAGAAAACTGGGCGATGAAAATGAATTATATGAGGAATACGGTGACCCTTAACCCACAGTATTAAGATTTGGGTGTTTGTGAATGAAACGAACCAAAGACGCAGTTCGATCAGTTCGTTGGTTTATGGTGTGGCCAGTGTGTAGCGTGTACGGGATGAGGGTAATGAGGGTAATGAGGATTGCGTGGGTGGGCGAGAAGTGGGCTGGGTCTGATCGCTTGTGCTTGTAGGAAGGAGTTGGTTGGTGTTTATTGTTCTTGCAAGGGGTGGGAGAGGTGGGCGTGAAGAGAGAGGGGAGAAGTGAGTGGCAGGAGTGAAAGGGAGTGGTGTTGGGAGTGAAGGTGAGTCGTGGTGGGAGTGAAGGAGTGGGTGGAAGAAAGAGTAGGTAGCCAGGTAGTAAGGGTTTATGAAGTATTTCATGGTCTAATGATCCCACTATTTTCGACAAAGTAGGAAGGGTTTGGTTAGTCTCATCGAAGCGAAACACTTCAATTTCATTCATCGAGTTCATTATTCGTTCATTATGCTTTTACTACCCATACTCCTGTCTTTTCATTGATCGTGAATCGAGTCGAGTCAAGTCAGGTCAAGTCAAGTCAAGCCAAATCAAGCCAAATCTAGTCACATCAAGTCAAGCCAAATCAAGTCACATCAAGTCACATCAAGCAGGTTTGGTGACTGTGCTCTTTGCACCCTTTGCCAGCGAAAGAAAGGATGAATGATGACCACCTGCCTCTGCTCATCAATAGTTTTGTCATATAGGCTGGAAGGAATTCTTCTCTTTATTCCCCTGCTTTATCACCTGCGGCTACTACAATGCCACACCACCTAGCACCTACTCCGTACAATGTGTACTTTACTACCCGTATCCGACTACTCACATGCAGATATCTCACAATCTTCAATCCGCAACCTGCAATCTACAATCTACAAGTATTCAATATATGAAAGACCCAGTACTTACTCGGCGCCAAATTTTGATTTGCATGTACGAAGCCTCAGCCGTCAGTTTCTGGGCGGTGGCTCCTCTCCTCTTCGTTTGATTTGAAGTCTGAACAGTCAATCTGGAAGACTATAGAGTAGCACTGGCTTCACTATCTGTCTCCCGGTCCAAAGTTTAAAACATCAAATGATTTTGTAACCTAATGGTGGCATGGCGGCTTGGAGAACTCCATATACGGGCAGGTCAAGATTAGGGTTAAGAGAAATAATATCAAATCAGAGCAGAAAGATTATCGGAATCCACAATCCATCCACAAAAACCTACATTTAGCCAGCATAGTTTACTTCCCCGGAAACGGTTTTGACTTCATTGAAACATATTTCTCTTGTCAGCTAATCTAAGTAAGCATTCACACATGCAGATAAGCAAATAGAGGATGGATGTTTTTATTTTGCAACAATCGATTCAACCACCGATCTGTTTGCCCGATTACTGGCTCACCACATGAACGAATTGCAAAGCCTCGTCTAATTCGGTCAATGAAGGAGTTCTATCAAGGCATTCATTTCCAGCCAACTTCAAACATCCCTCATTGGGAATCCATCGAAAAATATCGAGTATTCATCGGCCCACTATCAACATCTAATCGCTCTCTTTTCACGCCTTGCCTTGAGAACATACATTTGAATACAGTAAATGCCGTTATGGTTACTGTACACCTCCTTCAAGGAAGATATGCAAGCCATTCACACATCCCACCACACCTACAGATCCCCATGAATCAGCATTGACAACAACGACTCAGCCCCAAAACTGATACCCACCCCGTATAATTACCGTTTTTCTGACGGTCCGGAATATCAGTAACCCAAGATAGTCGACGTTACACCAACTTCCATGTATCATATTTGATATGGCTTGACATGATGTGCACGCAAATAATGGTGACGAAGAACAATCGGAATTTCTACGGGACGGGAATGATATCCTCCTATCTTACTTCATGGCTCACGCACGCACCACGGTTGAACGGAGAACACAATCTATAATAATAGCACATACACAATCGATGTTCATCTCCCGAAATATTTGTCTAGCTATTTGACGATCTTGTCACTAGTTCTACGGCAGTCGGTAGACGAGATCGAGTCCTTGAAATTTACAATTTCCTCAACTCGAGACTAAAGAACCCTCAATAAAAACTTGGTATGACAAACAGGCCTTCATTCACATTAGCGCTGTAGTGCAATGCATGGTCGACGAGCCCACCAGAATGCTGGGATTTTAACGCTGAAGTTATGGGATACTCGAAAACTTCGTGCAACATACGAAGTTTAGAGTTGCCACGTTCGAAGGCAGCTGCATGAAATTATTCGCAAGGGAGGAGCTCGCCTGGCTCCTTGTACATATCAAATGAACTTCAACCCCACGAGGAAAATCCAGAGGAACGATCAAATTTTGATGTGCGTGCTGCGCCCTCTTCGTCATAATATGACTGATATCAACCATCATTTAATTGGTGGTACAATACTCGGATGCCACGATGCTCTATGGTGATGAAAACCGAATCTGAAGTGTAATATGATCATCTGCTCACCTGCACTTCTTCCACTTTGAACAATCACACGGATCGATTCTTCTTGTTCGTTTACTTTGAAATGACAAAATGCTGTAGGTACAAAATTGCTGCGGGGGTCAATTGAGCTCCTTAAACTATGCATTACATGTTGTATCTTTGCAGTCTTGCATTGATAGAATTGATCGTCCCACAAGCGAATTGAAATTAAGGGATGGACCCGAGAACGAGACTTCAGTAGGTACTCAGCTCCAATGTTTTCCTCAATACCTACCTACAACCAAGATTTCCACATTTTACATTCTACCCGGGTATTCAAATTAAACCACAAGATCAGAACAATCAAACATTCTCTCTCGCGCGAGTCTCGCGCTACCCGCTCTCAATTCAATTTCATCCATAGTCCTCAATCCTTCTCCCATATGCAATGTTTACATTGCCTACAGAACCAACTAATGCAGATGCAACCTGCTTGTAAGCTTCAAAACCACAACCCCACGCATCAGAGGTCCTCGAACTCAAGACCTTAAACTTAATCTGTATTCTCCTCCGACCTCCGCGAACAAGATGCACGCAAACAGGGCAAGCAAACAGGTTCTCACCGCCAGAGATACTCGACAAAATGAATGACATGCGAAGTAAAATGAACCAATAGAATAAATACCTCATTTGTGTCACGTGGACTGCATGTGCAATCTATCCTTCCCTTCCTCGTGGACTTGCGGCAGGTAGGTCGAGCATTTCCGATTACGAGCAAGTGAGAAAACCCTGGATTCTCAGAGGTGCAGTGCATCATCCAATCATATCTGCATACTGTTAAAAGCGGAAGGAGATGTAAGGGTCCTAGATTTGCACTACTAGCTCGAAGAAATTAAAGACCGCGGCAGCAAACTCAAATCAAAATTATCAAATAAAAAATAACCTACGTGTTGCCAAGTAAACCAAGAGCCATCTGGATCTTGATGGACAATAGTAAATTAGTAAATTAGTCAGTGGTTTCATGAATGAGATCGAAAGACGATTGTTCAATTGCCGTCGCTATTGATGTTTATAGGAGACAAGCTTTTTTGGCAGGTAGGTCGGTAGGTGCATTGACGTCCGTGGATGATAGGGTGATGATGAATCAGTTCCGGATTCCGAGGGGTGCACAAGGTAGAATGGGAGGATGGGAAAGTATGTGCTGGATATGATTATTTTTGGATGTATATTTAGAAAGATTACATACCTAGTAAGTAAAAAGGAATATCATCATCACTGACTCGAGATAATGATACCCGTCTTACTCTCTTTCTATCATTTTCTTGTCGTGAGTATAGCAAGATTCGTTTGCATTTTCACATACTGGGTGATTAGACACCTGCTCGGAGATATCAAACGTGTGATCTGATCTTACAATGCGCATCGACCGTGGCGTGCGTGGGTATACCTTCCATCCATCTCCTGCCCGGGCATCAAATGATCTCGAGTCTGAGCGCAACCTCAGCCTACGAATTCGCTTCCAAAAATCCGGGACGGAGATACCCACGAGGATCTTCGTTGATGGTTTTTATAGTTGGAGAAACGGGATTATCCATTCGTATCTGTAATGAGAATACGCACGACCGAGATGATTCATTTGGATGGTGGAAATGCTTAGTGCTTTGCATTGACCTGTACAATAGGTAATCTTGAGGTACCTAGTCAGGCGAAAAAAGCGAAAAAAGCGAAAAAACCCCTTTCCATGCGAGCCATGTAACCGAACACTACCTACCTAGGTATACTTCATATATTTTATACACGAAAAATTCGAATGGGTAGCAGAAATGCAGAGGTGGATAGATCAATGCGCCCCCACGGAATCTACAGTATCGCGGAATACTCACGTCGTACGGAATCTGTACGATATGACTCGGACTCCGATTCCGGTAGATTCACTTGAAAGGTGGAAAACGTCACACGATGTGTAGTTCATCATTTGTGCGTCACTCCAAGATGGATTATTGTTTTGTTGTTTGATTGTTTTGTTGTATTAGTACTACGTAGTGAGGTATCATAAAGTATACTCCGCGAGTGAACCGCCCTTATTTCATTGTTTTATTATTTCCTCCCCTTCACTTTCCTTCTTTCCGGTCAGCACTCCTCTTATGCATCTCATATGATTGTCCCGCTGGAAGTTTCCTAGCACTTATTTTCTTTATTTCGTATCCCACCATCACCCGTTTGGACGCCGAGATTCGTGAGAAGACAAGTTTAAGAAGTCTTCTTGACGCTACCGGGTGCAGCAGTAACAGGTCTTCCTTGACTACGTTGATAGACGGTGTATGTGACGAAGGCAGCGCCGAGAGCGACGACGATAATTATGTTGCCTGTTTGAAGAAAAGATTTAGCTTGTGTTTGGATCGTTTCACCTATTTTTCTTCCAATTGCCTTTCCATTTCCTATCCTACTATTTGAAAGAAGAAAAGTATACGTACTCAAGAGGAACTTCACCAATCCCTCAAACGTCTGCGCAATACCCGCGAGAGCAGAACCGATTGCTGCGAAAAATGCATTGATGAGGCCGAGAATCGTGTTGAGGATTGATTGGAGGAAGGCGATGATGGAGCTGAATGTTGCGATGATAGTGTTGAAGATGGAGGAGACGAGGTTTGTGAGGGATTCAACGAGGGAAGGCATGGTTGCTTTGATATTTGCTGTTGATTCGAGTTGGACTGGGCTAGATCGTGTCGTTCTATTTGATTTGATTTGTTTTAGAATTGGATTGCGATAGAACTGAATCGTAGATAGATTGAGTATACGAATCCTGAACTAGAACTAGAATTGTGTGGATGTGGCGGTGAAATCTATCAATTTATACCTGCTACCTATACCACCTGCATCCATCGCTTTCACCTTTGTGGCGTCACTTATCGAAGATGACCTCATTGTCGTGAGCAAACAACCAGACAAAATCATAGCAAGGAGCATCTGTTCCTATTTATTGCAAGCATCTGCGTCATATCAAAAACCTGTTTGCAGCCCTATCACCGTCAACCGTTTACATCCAATTTCCGCATTCTTTACCACGCCATTTGTACTCGCCTGCCACAATTAGGAGTATCCTACCGTCTATCAAGGAAAAAACATGGCATTTCCAAACCCCATCTTTCATAAACAAGAAAGTGAATGTCTAAGTCCAAGTAACGAATCAAAAAGTCCATATTGTTTGATCAGGAAAGAATGATCCTCACAGGGTTGGTCGCCATGCTCGTCATTGTTGCTAGGGTTTTGTGGGGGCGGGCGCTAGCGGACGCCAAGGCTTGGCGTTTGAGGATGGAAGATTTTTGGTTTGGGGGAAGCGATTTGAGGTGACGAGGCAGAGATTAAGAGAAATCATTTGGGGATAAGTTTACTTTGTGTACAGATACTTGGTCACAGAGTTCTAGGATCAAGAAAGCTGAAGTGTCCATAGCTGCAATTTTGGATTCGGTCGAGGCACCTTCAGAAGTTTTTCCAGAAACTGGACCCCAATCCTTCACACAAATTCTTCTTAAAGAAAATGGCACCATCTCAACCCCTACCCAAAAATTGGCCCTCTCAGATCCCATATCTGATAACCCCCACATACTGCACAACAATGACCCCTTCACATCTGAAAACTCTCCGCACGCCAACTGCAGACTCGCTTCCCATTCCCACTTCTCACACGAAAGGCCCCTCATCCCTCGTCAAAATTACGCCCATCAATGACCCTTCTCATCCCGCCAATGGCCAGAGTGGATTGTTCGCTATGAGAGACTTGAAACCTGGAACTTTCATTTTGCAGTACATCGGTGAAGTGCATGCACCGAGTTCTTTGGCGGATGAAAAGATCAAGAGGCTGGTAGAATGGCATGAGAAGAGTGATTATGATTTGAGTTTGGATCGAGAGGGAGGTATTGGGGTTGATGCACAAGGAAAGGGGAATGAAGCAAGGTTCATTAACGATTTCAGGGGGGTGACTATTGGTGGGGAGAGGGCAAGGGTTAACGCTGAGTTTAAAGAGATTTGGGATAGTGGGAGGGGAGAGAGAGGTATGGGGGTTTGGGTCCTAGGGGAGAAGGCTGGTGGAGGGAAGGGGAAGGGTGTGGGAAAGTGGAAGGGGATTAAGAAGGGAGAGGAGATTTTGGTTAGTTATGGAAGAGGGTTTTGGGGAGCAAGAAGAGGAGAGGTGGATTGGATAGAGGCTGGGGATGAGACATTTGGAAACAACCTGAAGACTTGAGATGGAATGACAGGTCACGCTTCAAATAGTGCCCGACACGTTAAAAGATTCTGTTGACGGAGGTTGGAAGTCATCGAAGCCGAGGCCATCACCAGGCCATCAGGAACGAGAGAATCAAGGAATTCAATCACAGGACCGGATTCGTCCAGCCATCGCTCCAACGCTCGACAGAGAAGTTCGAAATCATGGATGATATTTGCTCATACTTGAAAAACAATTAAGATGGAAATCATATTCCACCGGCGATGACGAGCCCATTAAGAGAACACTGGGATGGCATCATCAGCCAAAAGCTTCGCTTGTAGCTATGTCAAAAGGGGCTAGCAGAAGACCGAGTGAAAGTTCAGATACATCTGAAGACCTGCCCAAAATGTTACAGTCATCATATAAAGTTCATCGTAGAAATCTGAATCTCAAGATTGGAAAATTATAGCACAAGATTACGTGCTTTATAACCTGGGGTTTCAATTAGCATAACAACCAATAATACAGCGTGCTTCTAGCTTCTTTTGAAATTCGATTTATGATAGAAAATGTCGAAAATGTCGAGAATGCTTTGAGAATTGCATGAGCATGTGGGTCCGTTTCCTTCACCGCTTCAGAAAATGGCTTTTGGAGTTAAAGCACGAATACATAAAGAAAGCTTCATGCCAATATATTAACTTTCCTCTCAAGCTCTAATAAACACTTCTTGTTTGAATTCTTGAAAATTGGAAGCTACAAATCTTCAATTATATATTAGGTAAGAAGTGATGACGGTAGGTGATAGCTCACGATGGGTCTCGTCAAATACTTGCCCCACGTTCAAGTCACTCCGTAAGCATGCTGCTAAAGTCGCGATTCCGATTGGCCAGGGCATTTATCGCGTCGCACAATATCAACGGTCTTCACATTGTGCGATACATTTCCAATAACCATATCGATACTGACTCAATTATTTCAACTTGAATTAACAGAAAGACTACATATTACAATCCAAATTCAATCGAATAAATAAGATCGACCAAAAACTTCAAATTCGACAGGTATCGGAGCTTGTACGACTTTCATCAATCGCATAAGCACCCCCGCTTCACAATCGCCCAAATCACCTTGGACTATCGATTAAGACGTCTGGCAGATCAAGCCCAGACTTTATTTCTCTTCGATTTTATCAGGAGTCTTCCTCCACTTCATAACACCTTTAAAAACGCCGTGTCCCTCTGAGGCCACAGCTAGGTGTTCATTGAAGTAATCGGAAGATATCCTTCTTGCCACCCTTATCCACACATGAGCAATCTTCTCTGGAAATATTATCACGAAGATGACGTCGATAAATTTCGACGCATATTGGCAAACGTCGCCAACCCATCGCACACATTGAAAGGACATGGTGGAGGATCGGCATTTTCCAGTAGCTTTGGGAATAAAATAGGAAGTTCTGGCGGGTTGGGAACGTCACCGAAGACTTTCGGCAAGAGTCGCAAGGCTTCTGGTCCTGCTGGAAACATAAATGGGATCAAAGGGCAGGGAAATGCGATCAGTCGAGCGGAGTTAAATAGCAGAGATCATGCTGGGTTAACAGTTTTGCACCGAGCTGCGTCTTCAACAGCGGTGAATGCAATAGAATTCGCCACCGCCCTTATCGAACATCCCTCTATCGACCTCTATATACAAGACACAGAAAGTGGATGGACAGCATTGCATAGGGCTTTGTATTTTGGTAACGTCACGATTGCTCGGGCAATCATCGAAAGGGACTCAAAGGACCGCGCTACTGGAAACACAGGAGCCAAGCCAGACTCGTCAGTTATCAAGATTAAAGATCGGGAGGGAAACACCCCTTTTGATGTCTACAATGCGACCATCGCACCACGATCGATCCGGGAATACATCAGAGAGCAAAGATTGCGCCGCCACGAAAGAGATGACGACTCTAATGACGGTGATTCTGAGCTGCTCAAGATTGATGTGTCAGAACCCGAAAGTATTGATGGGGATGAGCTTTTTGCTTTTGGTAGCAACAAAAACTTTTCACTGGGGTTCGGTGATCAGGATGATCGCCAGTATCCGGAAAGGATAACACTGAAGCGTCCTGACCGATTACTCTTTCAGTTTTATGAAAACTACCTAGACTCTGTCCATCATGACAATCCTGTCGCGGGTCACGAAAGCTTTCCTACCACTGTATCGGAGCTTCCCTCCATGATCCAAAATAGGCCTATTATCATACATGATGTCGTTCTTTCCAAGTTGAGTAGTGCTGTCTTGACTACAGATCCAGAATCAAACCTTTACATGTGTGGCTTTGGTCCTGGAGGTAGATTAGGGATGGGAGATGAAACCACTCGCTTCAATTATGTGCCAGTGAACCAGGGTGGCTTAGCAGGGAAGAAAGTCTCGACCGTTGCTCTCGGTCAGAACCATACCCTTGCTGTATCATCTGAAGGAGAGATTTTCAGTTGGGGCACAAACACTTGGGGTCAATTAGGCTACAACCTACCTCGCCCTGCCTTAAAGGATGAAGAACCCTTTTGCACAACTCCGCGCCAGATTTTTGGACCTCTGAAAAGAGAAACCATAGTCGGTATAGCTGCATCTGCTATTCATTCAGTGGCTCATACATCTAGCTCACTGTTCTGTTGGGGGAAGAACGAAGGACAACTAGGCCTTATGGATTCAGATTCCCGATCCTTGGAGGCTCAACTAGTACCCCGCAGAGTTGCGGCATCCCTATTCAAGTCATCAATCGTTAAAGTTTCGGCCATCAACAGTGCAACAATTTGCCTTCTGGAAAACCATACAGTCTGTGTTTTCACGAACTATGGTTATAATATGGTCAAATTCCCATTACATGAAAGCTTCACAAACTACTACCTTCAAAGCACTTCATTCACAACCCGATATGACAACGAGTCTAACAATATCACTAATATTGAGTCTGGTGGAGATACGATTGCAGCCATTTCTGGTAGAGGAGATTTATACACTTTGAATGTAAGGAAGGTTGATACAAAGGTTGCGGCAGCTTCAACAACCAACCCCTCAAAAATCAAGGAAGCTCTATCACAACCGCAGCGAGTCTGGTCACTCCGCAAGGGTAACTGGGATGGAATCAAGTCTGTTGGTGTTGCCGAAAATGGATCCGTCATAGTTTGCACTCAGGCTGGTGCCGTGTGGCGACGTGTCAAAAGAGCTAAGAATAAGGATTCTTTCACTGGGAATAGTGATTATGACCGAAAGGATTTCAAATTCCAGCGGGTCCCTGGACTTACCAAAGTAGTTGCTGTCAGAAGTAATCCTTTTGGTGTATTTGCGGCGATCCGTAAGGACTGTGACGTGACTAGGACTCAAGTGAGGGTTGAAGATGAGAAATTGTTGGAGGATCTTGAACCATTGTCAAGCATCAAAGATCTGGTTGCCTCAGAGTATCCAGCAGAACAGCATGCAAAATGGAAGGATCGCTTCGAAAATTTGGCATCTGAATATGGGTCTGTTATGGCAGCAGTCATTACATCTCCGGACCTTGAGGGGGACGTCGAACGCTTGTTCATGGGTCAGAATTTTGATAGCAGCTATGATATTGAGATCTGTAGCAGCACATCTGACATCGCAATACCTGTCCATAGCTTCTTGGTTGCAGGTAGATCTGCTGTCCTAAGATCACTTCTAGCCGAGTTCCGTCACAGTGGAACCGCTTCGCTCCCCGATCGTTCCAAATCAGAACCTGATATTCTTAACATTCATAAAGGTACAAGCGGTAGGATAAGAATCACTTTCAACGGCCTGGATTTTATCACTCTTGTCAACGTTGTTATATTTCTTTACCAGGATGAAGTTGCTGATGTTTGGAACTTTGCAAATTACTACCCACACTTGGCTTTCAGGTATAGAAAGGTTAGGGGTCAACTCATGGAACTTGGTTCCTATTTGAATATGGAATACTTGAATGGGCCTGGGCTTCATAGACGGCCCTCAGATTCAATAACCACTGACTTGGACAATGCAATCAAAGACGAGAAATTCTTTGATGGTTGTGATGCTCTTGTTGAGTTGGATGGAGGAGAAATTCCTATTCACAGTGCGCTTGCATGCCAAAGATGTCCTTTCTTTGATGGTCTATTCAATGGTCGGTCTGGGGGTCAATGGCTTGCTGGTAGACGTGCGGAAAATACAGGTCCGATCAGGATCGATTTGAAGCATATTGCACCAGAAACCTTCGAGGTCGTATTACGCTATCTATATGTTGATATAGGGCCTGAGATTTTCGACCACATAGTCTCCACAGATATCGATGAGTTCTCGGAACTTATCTTAGATGTCATGAGTGTTGCAAACGAGTTGATGATCGATAGATTATCCCAAATTTGTCAGCACGTTTTGGGCCGGTTCGGTATGTTCTTTCCGCACCTCACTCCTCACAGATTCTTTTGCGAATAATACTAACATCCTCAAAGTCACTACCCGCAATGCCTGCCATATTGTTAATGCTATAGCACCTTGCTCAATCACCGAGCTTAAACATGCTGGTCTTGAGTACATGTGCTTGCAGCTAGAATCAATGCTTGAGAATCAGTAAGTCTATTTTCGGAATTCTGATGAGCCGCAATATCTTAATATTTGGTCTTGTACATTACTAACTTTAAATAGTCTACTTGATGATCTTGACGAGGAACTTGTTCTCGAATTGGATGAAGTCGTACGCGATAATCAACTACATTGTTTGCCGTTTGCAAAAAGTGGCCGAGCTGATCTGGACTTACACGAGAAGTATCCAGAATTAGCAGAGGATATAGACGAGGAAAGGCGTCGCAGGCTTGGAGATATGATGTTTCGTGCTCATCTTAAAGATGAGGATAGTCGATTATCTTCGTCTTTTAAGATGCGTATGGGAAGTATTGATGATAATTTGTCCTCTCCCAGTAATGAGAAAGCCAGGAGAAGATCCAGGGCGGCGCAGAACGAACCATTTAGCCCAAGTATACGTCCCAAGGATGTGGCGGCCGACTTCATGTTCGATATGGATGACGACGAACTGCCTGGAAGTCCACCTGACTTGAACTTGACTATCGATTTGACTTCTGCTTCTCCGGGTGGTCCAGCCACTCCAAGGTTTCCTACAAGCAGCTCAACTCCCAGGATTGTAGAGTCAGGGTCTCCTACGGACCTACCAAGTTCTGCTGGTTTGGGAATCAAATACGCCCCTGACACACCTCAATCAGCAGCTAAAACATGGTCTTCCCCCAATCTTTCACTGAAGCTTGATATGAAAGAAATCATGGCCCAGGCGTCAACAAGTCGTACTTCCAATTTATCCCTGAGCCTCTCTGCCCAAAAGGCCAAGGATGAAGAAGCAACTGCTAAGTCGGCAACCCCAAGACTCTCGCAGAAGGAACGCAAGAAACAGCAGGCAGCATTTCAACAAGCTGTACAGACTCCCGTGAGTAAAGGCAAAGAAAAAGCATCGTCTCCTTGGCAAGTTGCGGGTGTCGGTTCGAGAACAAATCTTAAGGATATCCTTGATAAAGAGAATAAATCTTCGCCAGTATCTCTAGCGCCATTGTCAACGATTTCACCAGCGATTTCACCAGCAAATACTCCCTCGATTGCACGCCGAGTTGCGTCTCCAGATACTAGATTCTCTGGACAGAAAAGGAATGATAGCAGTAGCATCACAAAAGTACAAACCCCATCACCTGGTCCATCAAAACAGCCAATACCATCATCTAGATCTACTCCACTCATCCCTCACTCTAAGTCATATAAAGCGCCAGCATCCAAGGCAGAGCCCTCGCTGCAATTATCAATGGCTGATATCATTGGAATGCAACAGAGAGAACAAGAAGTGATCAAAGAAGCAGTTGCAAAGAGAAGTCTCCAGGAAATTCAAGAGGAGCAGAAATTTCAGGAGTGGTGGGATCAGGAAAGTAAGAGAGCAATTGAGGAAGAAGCACAGAGGATGAAGGCTTTTAGCAGTGGGGCTGGGCGAGGTGGTTCGAAGAGTGGTAGCGGGAGAGGAAAGGGTGGGACGAGAGGTAGAGGAGGTAGGGGGAGAGGTGGTGGAGGTGGAGAGTCTGTGAAGGGTGGGAGTGGAGGAGAACCCGTTAAGGGGGGAGGCGGTGGAAGTGGAAGTGGAAGACGGGGAAGGGGGAGACCACAGGAGAAAATTAGCGCTGCCAAATAGTTTGGTACCCTTCGTTTCGTTGTATCATAATATACTTTTGCGCGCGAGAACTTAGGCATGGGCTCGAGATAAGCTTCATAATACAGCAGGCATGGAATCAGCTACATACACAAATATTTTTGAATCATGAACGAAAAGAGAAGTTCATTACATTAGACAGATATTCATATGAACTCGAAAGTTTGGAATGAAGGGTAGAAATAGAGAATAGAGAATTATATCCACTTCAAGTTCTTACTATTACATGTACATCTAAAAAAAAAAGTTCCCATTGCGTTAAGTATGTGAAATGAACACATTCGTTTCCTTCGCTAAAGTATTTGCTGTGGTATCTCTATCTCTTTATGAGGAAGTGGAAGAGTGGTGACGGTGAGAGGATTGATGTGTTGATCAAATGAGAATTTGTGGGTTGTTATTTAGGGAGACTTGTATGGAATGATAAATGATGGAAGCCTGCATCTAAATTTGAAACTCAGAGGAAGGCTTGTTGGGTGATAGGGTAGTAGGTTAGTAGGGTAGTATTTATGGCTCAGGAGTTTATTTTTAGAGAGGGTTCGATTTTTTTGAATTTTGAGGAGAGAATATATAAGGAAGAAATTGAGTGATTGTTAGGATCTGAAATCCTTGAGGGACCTAATTTGAGGATTCGAAAATCTAGAGTTGTGGTTTTGGGGATGAGATCGTGGATAGGAAAGGGATAGAGAATGGGAGGTTTGGTTTTGGGGTGGATATGTTGAGTAGGGACAGAGATGGGTGTGTTTGAATAATAAGATGATTATGCAATTTATACAGAGTTTGGTTGGGTATCTCGTGATATAGGAAGACACCTGCGCTTAGTATTGACATGAAGGTGAACCATCCCTCATCGCTATAAACACGTGATATATACCTAACTCCCCCACCTCTTCCTTCCTTCATTCCCCTTCCCATCACCCATCTTATCCACCCTATCCCCCTCCCAAAATGCCTCCATCCCCCTCTCCCTCACCCACCCAAACAAATCACACTCCTCCACCATCTCCAACAATTCCTCCACAGACCACGCCTCATTCTTCTCCTCCCTACACCTCAACATCGCACCATATTTCTCCTCAAGCTCTTCTTCCAACGCTCTCTCATATTCTGCGCCCGCTGCTCTCGCATGCCTACGTTTCTGTGCGATTATACACTTCCAGATCTTGACGGTGTTGGGCGGGATATACGTAATCATTTCTTCGTCCGAGATGTCTTCCCAGTATTTTTCGAAACCCTCGGTGAGGGATAGGGTGGGTGGTGAGTTGTCTGGGGAAGAGAGGAGTTGTGGTTGTGAGGATGAGGATGAGGGAGTAGTGCTTCGCGAGGGTAGTTGGGGTGAATCGTTCCACCAGATCCATCCACTAGGGTTTTGAGGTAGTGGGAGAGTGTTAGTATTGGTATTGGTATTGGTATCTAGTGTTACTGCTTTCTTTCTTCTCTCGGATGGTTTTGGCCAACGCCATTTTCGAATGGGCGCAGGTGCAGGTACAGTAGTCGATTCAACATTGTCAGGTTGAAGTTCTTGGGTTAATGTTCCCGTGCTGATTATGCTCCCCAATGAATGATTATTTCTACCGGGGCTGGAGATCGAAAGGTATTCGATCTCGGTGGTGGTGTTAGACATCGAGGGCGATTTTATGCTTCTGTCAATATTGTAAATTGCGAGTTGGTAAATGTTTGTATCTGTGCTGGATATTGCAAATAGCCGGATGTTCGCGCCGACGTTGATGATTGACAGTGAGTAACTGCTTGTATAAATCCAAAGGTATTCGAATATATGTATTGATCTCAAGTACTGAACGACGTCAAATGTCTGTATAGGTATTAAAGATTAGAAGTTATAGTATTATATAGTGTGTATCATCAGCGTGAATTGCAAGTATACGATGTCCAAATTTATTGTTAAGAAAGAATGCAAAGTTGAAGATGAAAAAGAAATTCGAGACAAAATATACATATCGATCATGACGAACTATCCATCCCCAAAAGTTGTGCCGCCGTCAGTCTTTAGTTCCAAAGTTTTACTCTTAGTTCCCCGAGTTGGTCGAATCTAGGCCATCTAGCTTTGCAACCAAACCTCTTTTGGACTTGAGCGGCTTCACCCTATCTACCCCAGATTCTCGAAATTTGAGTTTGAGCCTTATTGAATTGGCTTTGAACCAATGATACGAAACACACGTGATAGCTTTACTGTTTCGGGTAGGTAGGTTTGGTTGTTATCTAGCTCCTTTCTAGCACTGTTGGCCTCTCGCTTATTACCCACCTACCAATATATTATATCATCACGGTAGGAATATTATTGATCAAGAGAGACGAACGGATCCGTGAATGAAACACCACTCAAGAATAAACTTCGTTCTGTCCTATTGGAAACCCTGGTAGTGGGAAGCTAACAGGTAGGCTGAAATTAGTCCAATGGGCAGTCATCGGATATTGTGGGGTTTCCGAACGGAGACTCTGTACCGCCATGGTGACCGAATTGTATTCTATGAGTGAGTGCTGTTTTGTCATTTTATTATAGCATCACGTTGAAGACGAGTTGAATATTGTCCACTAACGCATGGTACTGGATGAGCTCACTTCTCAGAAATTATATTACTTTTACCCTCGAGTAGGGAATTCTCCGGAGCATTTTCAGAAAATCTACAGAAAATCTAAGCATTACATAGATAAAATTGGGACTACTAGAAACAAAGAGCAATGAATGAGCACCTGAATGAATTTGAAATTGATTCATAAACCAAGCTAACTATTTTATGCATCACTTGACTGCAGCCATTTTATTTCCAAATACACAACCAAATAGACCGAAACATAAGACCTAGATCCTGATCTCCATCTCCAAGTATGTTTTTATTCAACACCGCCCTAACAAGTCGTAGCATCACCCAATCCCAAGCTGACAGCAGCAAGCAAAAACTCCATATACCCAGCTCCAATCTCTTGCAAATTGAGGTTATGCTGAGCTTGGGTAGGGTAAAATGGACAACTAGATGCCGAGTTTCCAAATCCAAATTCAATGGTATAACCATGGATAAGATTCTTGGTCGTATCGGCAAAATGTCTAGAGTATGAATAATCATCACTGGCGCCGCTGGTTGGGTATAATGCCGCAGCTGGGATGACAGAGTATGTGCGTCCAGCAGCGGCACTCATACCTGCACCGATCTTTGTAGCTGCAGCTTTGTTGGCGGTAGCTTCGGCTGTGGGTGAGTATTCACCGTAGCCGGAACCAGAACCAGGAGTATCGGATACGATTCCGCGGACTGAGTTGTAGGCCGCGTTGAGGAAATTCATGGTCGGGTAGGAGGCTTGGTTTGTGTCACTCCCCCAGGAGTAGAGAACGTCACCGGTGTAAGAGTGAAGATCGATGAACCAGCGAACTTTGGAGTATGTATCCATCACCCATTTGATGCTTTTGGTTTCTGGCTCTGAGAAAGCGGCGGTACCTATATGGTGAGACTGATTAGAGATGGTTTGGACCAGGGATAGTGAAGCATAAGTACATACCATGGAATACTTCAGAAGAAGGACTGGAAGACGCAACCTGACTTCGAACGCTTGAAGCCCACTTGGTCAAATCCCACACAAAGTCAAAGTTACGGTTCAAATCCACACCAGCAGAAGCACCAGTTCCCGATGCTGGGTTTCGGTTCTTACGCCAGCAGCTGTTGGTGGACTGATCATAAGCAACACCATCAGGGTTACTAAGCGGAATAAAAACAATTCCTGTCGATAAGGCAGTCTTCACCTGAGCATTGGTGTAAGACTTTGAACCGTATTTCAGACCGAGACCATTCTTGTTTGCATACAAGAGATCACTAATAAAGAGCAACAAGCCATCTGAAGAACCTCGCTCTCTTGCGTGAATGGCTGCATTCAAATACACGCGAATCGCATCATTACATGTTCCATTACCTCCGACTTTAGCGCCAGTGATGGAAGCACCATTATATGTTTTGTATGGGGTGGTGAAAGTGGTGATACCGTATACACTCGCAAGAGCTTTGAGTCCACTTGAGATCTCGTTGACGTTCAGGAGTGTGGTGAAAGTGGTGGTTTGAGATCCCACACCTCGTGGTGCAATAGTTCCAGCACTGTAGCGATCACCAGTTCCGATTGGTACGCCGTTGCTAGTTTGACGACGAACAACTCTTGGTTTTCCTTCCCTTTCTTCTGGGAGAAGACATCCCTGAGAAAAAATGGGAGCGAGAGCCGCGATGTAATACAATGATGTGAGCTTCATGGTGCCAGTTGAGTAGTAAGAAACTGATCAGAAAACTTCACGTAGACCATGATGCTCAAGTATATATATGTATCAATATCGTGGCTTTCCCATTCACTGTTTTCCCCTCATCTCGGCCTTGTAGCTTCCCCTCGGTCGCAAATAGGTATGTGAAAGGAGTTCTTCAAGATTGCGAACCACTTGGCAAGCTTGGCCATCTTACATAAATCGCTACCTTCTCTTTCGAGAAACTCATCTAGTGCCTGAAAATTCTATTCTTAAAACGAAAAACAACATTTAGGAAGGTTGAGAATGGGTGATACATCAGCTTCAGATAACAAAAACCACTTGAGTATCTGCAATCCAAATGCCGCGATACCAAGCCCGGCATTCAGGAAGCTGGAACCTTCAGCGATTGATCACGAGTGAAAGAAAGTGGCAGCATATCTGTAAGTTGAAGTTGGGCGTACCAAGCCCGGTGTACAGGAAGCTGAGAGCATGATAACGTTGGGACCTGCCACATCAGGTTGGTGCGCCAAGATGAATGCCTAGGCAAAAATGAAGTTCGAGATGCAAATTCCAAAGATTCAAGGAATATCACTTTATCCACCATAAAAGGGATACAAACGTGGCTCCCTTCATTGTCACCGATACATATCGGTCTCCAAAATGGAAGTTCATGTTGTTTTTGTTTTTGTCAAACTCGCGCTTTACATCGGGGATCGGAGCCGCGACTTTATTGACCAATCAGAAAGTTTGTAACAACAACCACTCTGTATATGTATCAAATAGAGTAGAAGAACGTATCAATAAGATTATATCAGTTTGCCTGGAAAATCTCAACGAAAATTTGAGTATCTATAAACCGGCGAATTACGACACTTCATGCAAATTCGACGATTTACCCGTTACTGCTCAGTACAGTTCAGAGAGGGGTATCGTAGCGTGATATTAATAAGGGTTCGTGGTATAACAGTTGCATATGGACTGTTAGCTTTGGAACTTTTGAAGCCACCCAGTACATTCCATTTCCTTGACACGCCGTTCACAGTCACAAAATTTGAATGAGCATGCTTATATCATGCATACCCTAAAGTAAATGTAGAAACCAACAACAGAAATGATTATAACATGAATCTATTCGTTATCTGCTAGTCATCTTTATCGCTTTTTGGTATACGCTATCGTACTAATACAAGTAAGTACTCAGTCTGATGACTTCTGCACAATGATGCTGATGTTAATGCAATAAAACTCCAGTGACCCACTCTATCCATTCCAGACATTAAATATCATCTAACCTTTCTAAACCATATGTAAAAACAATCACTTCTAAGTTCCCTTGGCATTCTCAGCCTCCTCCTGAATTTCCTGTGCCGAGTAAAATCTCTCCGGTCCCGGACGCGAACGAGCCCCTACAGCCGAAAGACTTGGACTCACATGATTAACATCATCCTGCCCATCCAAGTTCATCGCTGTCCTCAGCTTCTCTGTAATTTCTTTGCCCTTGCCACCCCTCTGAGGTGTATCTAGCATGTCCAGCCCCCCTTGTCCTTCAATTTCGCTTATCCCATCCGCTGAACTATACACAGGTGAACTGTCAGGCCCAGCAACATTCCCCCCCGCACTTAAATGCTCGTTCTCCTTCCCCTTTACTCCATCCTCTGCAATCTTCACTGTTACATAATCCTCTACTTCGTCATCGTACTTCCGCTCATATCCTTCAGGAACCACGCTCCTGACACTGCCAACCAGTGATTCTGTACTGGCATTAGCATCTCTCCCCATTTTACCATTACGCGCATTTCTCTCCCGAACACCATCTTTCATAATCCCATCTACCCCCTCCCCACCCATGCGCATGGAAAATGGGAAAGCTATACCTTGTGCCGTAGGTCTCCTCATTTCCTCCCCATTACTAGTATACCTCACTACCCCCTCTTCATTTTCGACTCCAATAATCGGTTGGCTTATTGTTATTCCTGGTACATCTGGTTCACCTCCCATTTCATTCGCTTCTTCAGCAGGAGCTCTTGACGCCAAGGTTGAGTGAGGAGTAGGTTCTTCAACCTGGGGACTAGCGATTTCCTTCGTAGAAAAAAGAGGATCGTCCACAGTCCTCATTGATTGTTGCATATCAGAATAGGTGGTCAAAAATTCCCCATTAATTTCCCCGCCCGATTTTCTTTTCACATCAGCGTTCTCATCCGCTATATCAGCGATTCCGCTCCTATTCACCTTCATCTCAGTGAACCCCGCTCTAGTCTTTGTCGGCGTTTTGACGGGCTGATTTACCACATGAGCTCCTAATCTTGGCTCGGTGTGAACAATACCGGCCTCATGAGAAATAGCATCATTTGTCTCTCTACTGTGTATGTCCCTGGCCCCAGCCCCGTCTT